CCACACGCAAGAAATCGCTGTGTTTGCACGCGCACACGGTGTGTCTTGTGCTGCGCCATCAGGCACGCGTGTCCGATGGCGCAGCACAAGACACGCCGTGTGCGGCAGGCTTTAAGAAAGTAACCACTCGTTTGCTGTAACAGGCATGATTATGTTGCGGGCTTATATTTTTATATCAGCGTGTTTCAGTGTAAGCTGGAATATTTGCTGTTTTTGTTCCGGTTCACCCCCCCCCCCCATTACGTTGGCCTTTTAATTTCACCATGGGCTATGGTAATGAGACATGCAGCTGTTATTGATGGCATCATCTTGAATTTCTCTAAAGTACGTTTCCATGTTGATGAAAATAACAGGATTTCTTCGATTCGCTCTTAACCTAATGCAACTGTCACGTATAATTTACCTTCTCTGAATGCAAACTCACTTGCCGTTGCGTGACTGTAATATTGCATTAGACATGTCACTGCATGACGTAGTTATTTTACGAAAATGAAATCAAGTGCAGTTATCGAGCAGGCTCTTTCATGTAGGAATTAAGGACTCCAAGCTACTTATGACATGCGTGCCAGAAGACCTAGCCCTGCTTTCGACATATATATACGACATATACCCTAACCCTTGCGGCTGCGCCCAGAGTGTTGATGCGACAATGATTTGTGTGGAGTTCGTCGACACTTTCAACATCAATTTGCATTTTGCACTAAACTGCTTCAGCCTTATCTATTACGTAGCTACAAATTTTGTAGCTGCTACGAAACTTGCTGGTCTTAGTACATCTATATCTGCGCTGGAGTGACGCGTGCATGCTAGACTAATGCCTGAGCCATATGTTATGTGATCCTATAACAATTAAGGCGTAACAGGAGTGTCATAATATAGCTGACACATCTGATGATATCAGGGGTGATGAATGACAAACGCTGGGGACTAATGCTGCGAATCTGCTAATGCAGTTGTGTGCTGTAGACGCTTACCAGATTACGTCCATCAGAATTTTATACACGCGGTTAACATCCACGCACACGTACACGCATGCACGCACGCACGCACGCATATATGCATGGTACACAGCACACATAAACTGTTGCACGAAATGTTGGGGGCAATATGTGCTTATTTCTTGTATTTTTGTCTCAGAAACATCGGGAGTTTTGTTTCTATGTCAAATATAATAAAAATATGTATGGTGTATATATAGCTGAAGATTGGGACAGCCGCGCCGTAAAATAATGTATGTACATACAGTGATGCTCCGCATTACGAAAGTAATGCACTCTAGCTATTAATGCATGTACGCACTGTAAAACATATATTATTATTTAATGATGTAACACAGGAAATGGGGGTCAGAATAAGAATTAGTACCTATTCATATACATGTGAAACGTGCACGTATTTCCACTGACATGCAGAAGTTCCAATGGTGTTTCCAAGGCAGGGCCCAATTTAGGAGTGGGCAGAGTGGGCAGCTGCACACGGGCCTCCACAAATCAGGGGCCTCCACATATTTGATTTAAAAAAAAATTGTTAAGGAAAAATATAGGCTGCCTGAATGACATGCACGCAACCCGTATCAATCAAAACCAAACCGTTACTGTGCGCATTTTACATCTTACATACGTAAGACATAGCGGCATAACCCATATTGTATTTGTTTGTGAATGGTATAGTTAACTAAGGGGGAAACGTACAACGGTGTCACTAAGCCAATATTCTCTCTCTGTCATTAGCAAGTTGAATTTTTTATTTTGGGCAATATAGCGCCGGTAATACACATGATATGTATCTATATGTCTTGTTACTTTTTAGTTTTTAGTATTACTTTAAGGTAGGGTGGTCTCCACAAATGATGGCTGCCCACGGGCCTACACATGTCTAAATCGGGGCCCTAGTTCTCAAGGCGGCGGAAACCTGTGCTAGTCTTCTACGTGGCACTGCCAACAGGGACTGGCTGCTGCCAAACATGTTGGCCCGCCGGCTAACCGTGTGTGATGTTGTGTGTGTGTGTGTGTGCTGGCTCAGTGCGTAGCGTGCGTAGCGTGCGTGCTGCGTGCGTAGCGTGCGCTGCGTGCGTGTGTGTGTGTTTTATGTGTGCTTTGTTTGTCGTGTGACTTGTTTGTGTGTTGTGTGTGTGTGTGTGTGTGTGTGTGTGTGTGTGTGTGTGTGCTGTGTGTTGTGTGTTGTGTGTGTGTGTGTGTGTGTTGTGTGTGTGTGTGTGTGTGTGTGTTGTGTGTGTGTGTGTGTGTGTGTGTGTTGGTGTGTGTGTGTGTGTGTGTGTGTGTGGTGTGTGTGGCGACGTCTGGTTGAAACCGATCCCGGAATAGACAATGCCTTGTTTGTTGACCAACAAACCATGTTTTCGCATTTTGACTGCATGCGTATTTGTGAAAGCATCGATTGATTGAATTGAAGTTGACCTCGCACGCGTCCCGTGCTGTCTCTGTGTGTTTAGACCGCTGCAAGCAATAAACCCCACCAGACCACGATCACAACGCCCGAAAGCTACATGCGTGTAATCTAATTAATTAGTTAGCAGTAGCAGTAGTAGTAGAGTAGTAGTAGTAGTTAGTTAGTAAGTAGTAGTAAGTAGGCAGCAGCAGCAGCAGCAGCACAGCAGGCAGGCAAGCAGTCAGGCAGGCAGCAGCAGCAGTAGCAGCAAGCAGAGCAGGCAGTAGAGCAGCAGGAGCAGCAGGCAGCAGGTAGAGCAGCAGCAGCAGCAGCAGTAGCAGTAGTAAGCAGTAGTAGTTACGGGAGACAATAACTTGTCGGCTTTTTGCCTCCAATGTACATAGGAGTATGTTTAGAACTCAATCGAAGTCACGAGTGCGTTGCAGAACACAACAACGCACGTACAATATACACATACGTAGGGAGAAAAACAAAAGAAAGAGGGGGGAGAGTTGGGGAGACGTAAACGAAGCGAGAGAGAGAGAGAGACGAAGAGAGAGAAGAGAGAGAGAGAGAGAGAGAGAAGAGAAGAGAAAGAGAACAGAGAAAGAGAAAAGAGAAAGAGAAAGAGAGAGAGATGAGAGAGAGAGAGAGAGAGAGAAGGGCGAGAGAGAGAGAGATGGGGAGGAAGAGAGATGGGCGAGAGGGGGGTGATAAATCGGAGGAGAGGTTGGTTGGCATTCGTGATGGCAAGCGTGCATCGTGTATGCGTGCGTAGTGTTTGAGTGCGTGCGTGCGTGAGTGTGGCGTGGCGTGGCCGATCGCGTTCGATACTCCCCGGCAGCACGCACATCGCTCCGTAATTTTTCGTGTAATTGCAGACATCTAATACGTTCATTGTGTAGTGGCGCAGTGTGGCAAGGCATGTCAGCCGCATTAGCGCTAAGCTTAGTAGGGCGAGAGGGCAGAGAGAGAGGGAGGGGAGAGAGGGGAGAGAGGAGAGAGCGAAGAGCGAAAGAAGAGAG